GAGGGTGTTGATAAGACAAATGCGAGCTCGAAACTGCAGTCCACCCAGGATGAGAACAACTTTTGGGAAACCAAGGCTATGTGAAATTCAATAGAAACGTCAGCTCAACTCATATCATTGTGGGAAAATTCTACTGCCATTCCTTCATCACCTTAGACTAAATAGGGTGAATACATCTCATTACACTGATTTACTGGTAGTCTCGAAACCCTACTCAATTACACCTACCTCAGTTATCCAACAGCTGGTCGTCCAGCCACTCCACAACAAGTGTTTTCTTATGCCCGATGGATTGAGACCGGTCTCTGTCAAACAGTGACTTTAGTTTGTGCCAAAAAGTAGATGTTGTATTCAAGTGAAAGTACCCACAATTACAAGGCCAATTCCACTGGCAGCAAAGGTTATCAATGCCTGCTTCAGGGTTATGAAAGATTGCAAGCAATACCAATAACGGATTATCCAAAATTGTCCCCAAAATATTTGGTCACATTTTATCTGGCCTAATATGGTATTCATACAGAAAAAACCGCCGTTTTTCCCATCGTGGACAGGCGCCTTTACAGGCATGGGAGTCTGGTCATACCGCCGATTCTTTTCGATATCCACTTGTCCAGCATCTCTGCTGTTTCTTTCTCACGCCATGAGAAGGGGTTAAAAGTGTAACTATCACTTATTGAGGTTAAAAAGTCACTACAAACCTTTGCATGCACTTAATTGTATGCATGATCAACTAGCATTGTTATGAATACTAGTTCCTTCACACATTCTTTGTAATCGTGAGTATATGGGGTAGTATTAGATTCTTGTTACCAACTTAATTCCGACTAGCTTAAACAGCGGCTTTTTAATCCTGCGTAAGTTAGCCATGGACCTAGCGACTCGGGTTTTAGACTGTTCGTAGCTCTTTTTTAGGAATTAGTCACCTTGGTTCACTTAGTGATATTTTCTTGGCCTAATCAATGTCCGTACAGTAAGCCCATAAATTGTGATGGCATCTACAAGTTTACCTTATCTACAGCAGTCGCCCTTAAAATGTGAATTAGGCCAGGCCTAGTTTGCCCTAAAGGTCAAATCTACCCTGTTAGTTGTTTTCACGGGTGATGAGACCAAGGCCGTTCAGTAAGGATGAGAAAGCCTTTAGGGCGGAAAATCCAAATGAAATTAATTGCTTCGTGAGGTCTGCAATTCATTTCTGTCTGGGAAGCTCAGCTATCATTCCTTCTATTACATTAACTGACCTAAAGTCGCTCCAGTCATTTTCCCCGGGTCTTATTGGTATTAATGATTATTCGTTCTAATGTATTCCCCTAAGACATGCCTACCTTAAATATTTTATCCGATATAGCCTTCTAAAACATTGCAAATTGTGTCATACTGGAGATGCCAAATCTAATGCCGTCGTGTTCTCATTCAACAGTACAGTTATTTTATGACCATTGGAGGATGTAATATGTCATTTTCGGAATAATTAATCTTCGAGGCTATCTGTAACACTTAAAGAAAAATTTAGTCAGATATAAAGAAAAACCGGGTTTACAAAACTGCCCAAGTGATTCATTCTGGCATGAGCTTTCATTTCGACGGAAAAGTTGGTTGGGGGTAATTCGTGAAACGGTCGCACCGGAAACCTAAGGCGTATTGCAGTGTATTGTGGGAAGTCCTCGGCTCACTGTTCTGCGACTTCACGTCAAAGGGTAAGATTAGTGAGTCTATAGAAATGAATTTAACAGCCAGCATCCTGAATAGAAGGAACGAGTGTAGGAAAGTAAATGTAAACTATTTGTGTCTGCTGGATAGGCTTAATGAGAGGGGGAGAGAGAGGGTAGGCAAGAAGAACTAAGTAACAAGAAGAAAGAGGCTGTAGTAGTTTTTAGTCTGGTCACTGTTATCATACCTTTCATGACATTTAAAATTACATTACATACTAGAAAATAGTATATACCTAAACATGAGTCAACATTAGACGATCGTACTAAGGTACGATTTAGGTAAGGCAACAAGTGTCACCAATTCCACTTCCTGTTCATGAATTAACTTCCCTCATTTGTACGCATGTAGAGTGAGTAGGAAGTAGCCGACCAAATCATGGGAAGCCTCATTAAGATCGCAAGGAAAGGTGAATAAAAAAGTGACTACGGTTGCAACCGGCTAACTTTTCTCTTTGTTTATTATATTCTTTTCGCTATTTTGTAAAGTATGTATTTCTAGCCCTCTCTCTCCCCCTCTTATTAAGCCTATCTAGCAGACACAAATAGTTCACATTCAATTTCATACACTCGTAGCCACGGTGGTACATACAAAAGCATAGCACAGCTCCATTTGTGTCTCAGGACAGTAAGCCGAGGACTTCGACGTACAATCCAATAATCTTCACTTCACGATACTTTTCCGGTGAGACCATGTAACGAATTCCCTCTAACCAAATTTTCCTTCGAATTGGAAAGTCATGTCATGA